CTCCCACCTTAAACACCCCCACCAAGTGCATTGGGGCCAAAAGGCACGTTTTCGGGTAATCCAAAGAAAGCTCTTGGCGGGGAGGGGGGGCTGTTGCGAGGAAAGCCATGCCCACGAGAGGGTGGAGAGGGGTCGCGACGGATCTATGGGGCGAAAAAGCCTACCCCACCCCAACCCTCCGCCCCACGCCTCAGGAGAGCTTCCTCAGGGGCAGAGCATCCTTTTCCCTACGGCATCTCTCCCTCTCTCTCTCCCTCCCCGTCCCTCCATCCTTCCCTCCTTCCCGGCTCAGCTCGGGTCTCCCCTCTCGCCCTCCCAGGCGAAGGCTCGCCGTTCAGCCCCTGACCTACCGGCTGCCGGCCTCCTCCGTTCCGCCTGCCTGTCCTCCCGCCTCGGCCCGCGCCGAACTTCAGGCCGCCATGACAGCGACCAGGGACGCGTGCGGGGAGGGGAGGGGAGGGGCGGTGCGCCGCTACTCAGGCTCCGCCGTCGCCAGGAGCCCCCCGCGCGCGCGTGACCGCCACTTGGCGACCCGGCCGGAAACCGATTCCCCCCACACGAAAGGTTCCGGGGAAGGACTGGTCCGCCCCTACCCTACCCTTCAGTTTATTTTTATTTCATAATATTTTTTTTACCCTGCCTTTCTCCTTCAAAAGGACCCAATGATATTTTAAAATCCGAAGACAATGACTAAACGATAGTGGATTACATCATTCAAAGACAATATCAAAGTGGTTGTAGGTTTTTCGGGCTGTTTGGCCCTGTTCTGATATCAATATCAAAGCTCAATTAAGTATAAAATATTTTTTAACAGGAAACAAATACTCTCAGAAATGGTTAAACACAAGCAGTCCTAAAAATGTAGTCAAAGCAGTCATGTATAAAAATCCATCTAAAAATCACACTCAGATTGCCAGTCACTCAGGGAAAGGTTTCCTGAAGAAAAAGCTCTTGGCTGGCTTGCAGAAGGAAAGCAAAGATGGGGCCAGGCTGGCCTCCAGTGGGAGGGAGTTTCACAGTATGGGAGCAATGACAGAGAAGGCCCTCTCTCCCATGTCCCCACCAAATGCATCTGTGAAGGTGGTGGGACCAAGAGAAAGGCCTCTTAGCCCTCAAGCAGGTTCATAAAACAAGATGCTATCTTTGGGATGGCTTGGACCCAGGCCATTTAGGGCTTTATAGGTTATTAGAATGATCACTTGCATTGAGACTGCTGAAAGAGGAGAGGGTGGGTGCTCGGGAAGAGGAAGCCTGTTTTCCTCCCCCTTGTGCACAGATTGGAAAAATAGTTATTAATATTTAGGATCTCAGTTCCCAGAATGTCCCAGCTGCCGTCATGGACAGTGGTCCTGTTAGGTTAGATCACTGATTCCAAGCCTCGGGTTCCCAGATGTTCTTGGTCTTTGTAGGCATTCTTGAGAGACGATGGTAACGTCTTCGTGACCTCATGGACACGCCAGGTCCTCCCCGCCTTCCACTGCCTCCTGGAATTGGGTCAGATTCTAGTTGGTAGCTTCGCTGACCCTGTCCAAATATCTCGTCCTCTGTCATCCCCTTCTCCTCTTGCCTTCACACTTTCCCAACATCAGAGTCTTTTCCAGGGAGTCTTCTCTTCTCAGGAGATGGCCAAAGTATGGGAGCCTCAGCTTCAGGATCTGTCCTTCCAGTGAGCACTCAGGGTTGATTTCCTTCAAAATGGATAGGTTTGTTCTCCTTGCAGTCCAGGGGACTCTCAAGAGTCTCCTCCAGCATCACAATTCAAAAGCATCAATTCTTCGGCGGTCAGCCTTCTTTATGGTCCAGCTCTCACTTCCATACGTCGCTACTGGAAGAACCATAGCTTTCTTTATAAAGTGAATTGTTTTTCCTGAGACTTCCGGTAACAAAGACTTACTTTTTTGCTTTAACAGCAGAAACAGCCTTTGGAAGTCCCAGAGCAGGGCCACATTTTAGATTACATCTGGTCCTATTGGCTTTATTTTAGTCTTGCCTGTGCCCTATGCTCTGTCAATTGCTGACAAGTGGCCTCCAAGATCCTTCCCAAACTGCAGTTTGGTCCCTGGGCTAAAAATGATCCCTTCGCTCAATCAAAATTAGAAACAATGCTTCAAAGTGACCGCAGGTGCAGATTTTTTGGACATGATTATGCTTTAATGTGGTAATGAGCCTACAATATCAAATGTCCACCACTGCTATTCTTTTCAGTTTTGACTGAAATTACTACTGATGAACCTTGGAAACACAATTTCACAAAATGAATCTCTTCTTATTTGCAATGATGTAATAGCAACACGAGCAATTATAACAACACAATGCAGCAGTTTGTGCACCTAAGTCCTTAGCAAGGGTACCAACACAGGAGTTGCTTGTCGAATTTGCAAAGTTCAAGTGTCCCTTTGATTTCAATGTCAGACAAAAATTCAAGGCATCATCCTCAACTAGGTTGGGTATCCGTAAAACAGGAGAATCTTCAAAACCCTAAAATAAAATATCAATACGAATGAATCCACTATATAGTTTCACCCTTCCAACACATACATATAGGAATTATACCTAAACCAGGTTGGCAAGGGCTTCAGAAGTCCAGGAGTCAACAGCAGTTTTGGCCTCTTCCATTCTTTCTGTGATTCAAACCTCTTACTCCCAACCCTGCTTTTTCTGTCCCACCCCTTTAGGAGGATGCAGTATTTCATAAGGATTACATAAACTGGTTTCTTCCAAACAGCAAACTGTTGCTCAAGTCAGAGGTAGTCAGACTCCAGGTTTCTTGGATCTATTTTACTGTCTTACTATTCACAAACCTACTAAATCAGTGATGGCGAACCTATGGCACGTGCGCCACAGCTGTCACACAGAGCCCTCACTGTTGCCACACAAGCCATAAGTCGCCATAGAGAAATACTTACCCATCCTTCAATCCTGGATTTCAGCACTCCCCTCTGCAGCTGCAGTGGTCCACTGGAGGGGTGCAATGGCGACCATCACCGGTCTAGCCTAATGGGGGATTGGAGAACCAGTAAATATTTACTGTATTTGTTAATACTGCCCATGGGGGTGTGCGACAAGCATTTAACCCTTGCAGTACATGAGCAGTTGTTTTTTCTCAACTAAAACTTCAGCATTTGGGTTTTAATTGCAGTATTGTCACTTTGAAATAAATAAGTTGATTTTGTGTTGCATTTTGGGCACTCGGGCTCAAAAAAGGTTCACCATCACTGCACTAGGCACTCAAAGGCAGCCACTGCCCTCAAGCAGCAGATTTTGCAGTACACGTGTATTTTTGCCATCTATCCATGGCATAGATCCACATGAATTTTAATGTATGCTCATCTCCAAATCATTGCCCATCTCAATTTTCTTGGTTGTGGCACTGGCGTGAGAGGCTGGACTGGAAGCTTCTTTGAAGTGGCATATTTTCTCCTCACTTGTACTCTGCAAGGAGCGGTCCATGGGGTACTCGTGATGTTGATGATGAAGATGAGGCTTGCCAGGTCTCAAAGAATCAGTCGCTGTGCCAGGAAATGGCTGGGTTCCCCTGAATCTCCAGGCCAGGCCAACAAATGTGAGGAGCAGTGGTGGAAGGGAAGGAGCGAGTCTCATTTATTGTTATGGGGTGGCCAACCCCATAGTTATGGGGTGGCCAACCCTCTCCGAATGGCACCAAAGCTCACTGGCTTCCTGCGTCTGTCCAACACGATGCATAATATACTTGCTTGGGAGCTCAGACAGGGAACCCACAATGCCTAGCTCACTCCCTCACACACACATGGAGAAATATTATGTTCCCAATTCCTGTGACATCACAAGGCCCCACAGCATGTCTTCACAAAGACCCACTCAAGGCATTGGGCCCTCGATATCATGAGGGGATGGGGAAGATAATCTTGTGACAACCCCTGACAAACAAGACAACACCTCAAAACGATTCCGGAAAATTCTTTTAATAGTTTTGGAAAAGAGGCTAAACGGGTATCTTCAGTGGGGACAAGGGCCTGGTTCAGTTCCAGCAAGACGGCTGCCTTCTGCTCCCTCGCGTCCCCCTGGGGAAGAGGAAGCTTTGGGCCCTGCAAGAGAAAGAGAGAGAAAAAAATCTAAGGAGCCAGCTCATCCACTGCCGTCAACCGGCTTCAACCCAGACGTATCCACCCACCAATGTTCTGGCAACTTCATCCCGAAGTTCCGCCTGCCAACATCCACTGGCTTCCACCAGGAATATCCACCTGTTCATCTCTTCCATTCCGCTTCTGAAGCCAACCTCTGCCAGCTCCCGAATGCTTAGGTCACACACACACCCCGGTGAGCCCCATGGAACGCCAGCCAGCCCATTTACATA